CACACACACACACACACACACACACACACACACACACACACACACACACACACACACACACACTGGTTACTGGGGCTTGAACTCAAGGCCTGGGTTCTGTCCTTTGGCTCAAGGTTGGTACTCTATCACTTGAGCCACAGTTTTACTTTCAGCTTTCTGCTGGCTAATTAGAAATAAGAGACTCACAGTCTTTGCTGCCAGATCTTAGCAGCCAGCTTAAAGAATACATTTTTTTTTTTTTGGACTGGTCCTGCGGCTTGAACTGTAGGCCTGGGTGCTGTCCCTGAGCTCCTTTTGCTCAAGATTAACACTACAACTTGAGCCACAGCTACCACTTCTCGCATTTTCTATGATTAGCTGGAGATAAGAGTCTCATGGATTTTTCCTGTCTAGGCTGGCTTTGAACTGTGAGCCACAGATCTCAGCCTTCTTAGTAGCTGGGATTACAGGCATGAGCCACACCAGCCCCCAGCTTAAAGAATACTTTTATTAGTATAGGTATGTCCCAAAAGGTACATCAAATATGCATACATATTTTTTTCAAAGTTGTTGGGTTTTTTTGAAAGTCAGGTGTACCAGGTGCCCTCTGATTTATCTGGCTACTCGCTCTGAGCCAAAGTCCTAGCCATCTCTGCAGGAAAATGGCCCCTGCCTATGACAGACAAGCTCATGTTAGAAGCGAGGTATTCTGCTCCATATGATGTAGAAAGCTGTGCTGCTATTTGAAATGATTTACAGCTGTTCCCGCCTGATCACCAAGTGTTTCCAAATTAAAAGCCATTAATTAAGGCCTTCTAGAGATGCAAGAGATAGGCAAGCAATGCCTGTGCAGTCCTTCAGGTGAGAGCTTTTCAAATTACGTGGACCGCTGGAGCCACCTGCTTGACTGCACGCTGCACGGCCTGGAGGCTGTCAGCGCACCACGCTGCCAACACTGTTACTGATTTTTCTCATTTCTCCAGGGCAAATACTAATTAATGGATACAATTCACAGCTGATTAGCTGTAGTTTCTTCAGTAATTACATTCGCATACTAACTGTTCAGAAGAGGATTTCTAACCCAGTTCTTATTTCACTCTAAGCTTAATTTGTTTTTTGAATTGTTTAGGCCCTTAGTTTAATAGCCATTTTATTTTTCTTTGTTGTTTTAGGTGCTATTAGATAATAAGTGAGTTTAATCTTAAAAAAATACTCTCTGATAATGAGCTCTTTGCCTTAAATGGATTTCTAATTCCCTTACCAAAACCTACATTTAAATAATGCTAAAGTTATGATACTGCTGTTAGATGAGGAGCGGGGACAGGACAGGAACACATTACATACACACAACACACGTCACATATGTAACACACTGCGTAGTTATACATATACGTGATAGATGGGTTATATATGTAATTTCTCAAACACAAATTCTTATTCATATACATCTATACATATCTTTCTATTAAACACATTTGATTATTAGGCCCAAGATTTTAATTCTAGCATCATTAATTCATCAAAAACTGCACGCTAAAAACATGCTTTTTTGCATATATTTAACATTATAGACAAAGTGGAGAATGTGTGTGTGTGTGTGTGTGTGTGTGGCATGTGATGTGTATGTGTACCCATGCATATGTATTTGATAGCTTTAAAAAATGCTAACAAATATATCTTTCAGAAATCCTTAGATATATTTAACCACATGAATGAGTGCTTGGGTAGAGGTTCTCTGATGGCTTGCTGTGTGTGTTTCTGTATTGTTACTGGGGGATTTTGCTTCTTAGACCACAGCAGCACTCTGGAACCATTAGCATCTTTCCTGTAAATCCTGCTTAGATCTTGGATCACTGACATGATAAAGTGCAGCCCGTCGATCCCAGTTCTTTACAGGTTCAGAGGGAACTTGAAAGCACCCAGAAATCAGTGTTGTCAGTTTGTGGAGAGGAGGAGGATTATGTGGGTCTTCATATCTCTGTGTCTATCTACCTATCTATCTGTATGTCTCCTAGATCTATGTATCTGAACATCTGACTATACGCTTATCCAGTGATCTGTCTGTCTGTGTCTGTCTGTCTATCTGTCTGTCTGTCTATCTATCTATCTATCTGCTTATCTGTGTATCTGAGTATCTGACTTTTTGTTACTAGTTTTCTACCCACCTACCTATTTATTCATCCATCCATCCACCCATCTGCTGGGAAAATTATACCTTTTACTTGAAATAATTGCTAGCTTTTTTGTATTAATGAGTATCTATATACATTTCACCCATTGAAGACCAAACCTACATTTTATTTGATGTATTAAAGGAAGGAAATAAGATACTTTATTAAAATAGACATTCTTTTATCATTTTAAAGTATAAAAATAATACAGCTTTAGATAATTATACCCATAGAGCCTTTCCATATTGCCAGACTAATAATACAATGTTTAAAGCAACAACATGTACCTACTTAAACTATGAGAACCTAAAAATACATTTCTGCCTCAATCCAAGTTTTACATTTGGCTAACAGGTCCTTAGAAGTAAGAGAGCTTAAGTCTGAAATGCTGATACAGTCTTTATTTGTGATGCTGTGAATGGCCCATTGTGTTAGGGAATGAAATAAAAATTGCTGTGTTCATAGGATCCTGCTTATTATTTTTTTAAACCTCTCTGCACTAAATGTTACATTGAGAGATTAAGTATCTCTGCTTTCAGCAGCTCTGATGGATCTAGATAGAGCTTTAAGCTTTGTGTGCAGCTTTAAAAAATTCCGTAGTTTTATTTATTTACATTCATGCTGTCCCGCCTAGCCCCCAACCCCCACTCACCAGAAAATAGAATTTGCCTCTTGGGAATTGAATTTTATTCTCTTTAATTCACCCTTTTACCTGCCCACACCTGTGACATCTGTTCTGGAAAAGTCAGGTAGAAAAATTCCCAGCATGCTTTAAAATCTATCATGGTGACTTTCTTGGAAACTCTCTTTCTTCTAACCTCTGACAAATGCCAGCTCAATAAATGCCACACACTACTGACCAGGCAGCCAAATGTTTGTGATTGCCTTCCTTCACTGTTAGTCTCGGTGAGAAACAAAACTATTTTTGAGAATTATTGAGTTAGTATAACTCTGTGCTTTATTTTCTGGAACTAGCTGACAGCAGAGCATCATTCTTTGAAACCATTCGTGTTTCCAATTTGATCTCAGTTAAAAAAAAAAAAACCAAAAAACAAAACATCACCCTTTACATCAACCTTCTTCTCAAATTATATTTGTGCATTAAGAACCAGAATTCTTTATTATGCCTCTCATTAACACAGGACAATCTGTTTTCTTTCAGTTTGGAAATAATAATAACTACATGAACATGGCTGAGGCAAACAACGCCTTCTTTGCTGCCAGCGAGGTAGGTGTCTGTCTTAACACTGTCCATATTCTGTGTGTTATTTAGATAATTTAATAGGCTCGAAGGGAAAAGCAAAGTATCGAATTTATCTCTTTCTCCTGTGGCACAAGGTAACGATGTTGGAGGAGAAACGAGCAAAGCCTATTGGAAAAGAAAATAACCTGACAAGACTTTATCACTTGTCCATATGCTGTTGCTAACATTCCTAACGTTTGGCAAATCTTGCAATGAAAAAAAATATATATGCAAATAAAAATAAATATGGAAGGAAGTGTGCTAAAAACACACTGTGTATTGATATCTAAGCGATTTGGACACTAGGCTAGAAGCAGCTCATAATAGAAAATATTTTAATTCTACGTGTCTGTCTCTCATGATAATTTCATTGAGTGCAAAGGTTTGGAAAACTGTGGCAGACAGTATTGCAGTTTCTTGGGGGCTTGGCAGGGCGATGTGAAATGAGTCTTTTTGTTGATATTAGATCTTGCAGGCTAGCAAAGAACCTGGCAGTAATAGGTGCTCAGTAAACATCACTGAGTGAATGAATGTCTGGGCATGCCTCAACACCTGATTGTAGCTGGGACACTGGGTGCAGGAATTTGAACGCTGTGCCTCCTTGGCTGTCGGTTTGTCTTCAGTTTGCAAGCACACAACATTGTTTTCTTGGTCATTGTATTATATTTCTTATTGTTGACTCAGGACTGTTGTCTGGTCTCACTGAAAAACCTGCCCTCTAGAAAAACCTGAGAGAACATGATTAGATCTAGAAAATGGTTGACAGTGTGAGTGAGAGTTAAGATTTTTTTTTTCCAGACAAGAACAAACAGACAAATGGAACATTTCCTCTGTTGGTTCATGTAATTATGATTTTTAAAAAGTCTTCATTTTCCAAATACATTCAAATATAGGAGACTGAACTAGCTTGACCCCAGAGGATGAAAATAATAATGGCTTTGCAAATGATCTTGGTACAGGGAAGGAAGTGATAGGAAAGAAATTAATGCTGAGAAACCATTAGAATAAATGGGGAATCCAGAATTAAGGGCTTTCCAAGATTAATCATTTTTACAGTGACCATCTTCTCTCGGAGCAAGAAGACAGCTGAGATAAGGGAATATTGTTTGGCTCTGGCTGCTGTGTTGTTTGTGATAATGAGCACAAACCCCATCTGTAAGGACAACATGATGTTTCATTCTGTAGGATTTTTTTTCTCCCCCTACATTTGAATCAAACATTGATGAAAGCTCTGCTGCCAGCAGCTGTTCAGAGACAATTTAATTCCAGCTGTGATAATTCACCGTGTCAGACATTGGCTGTTATATGTTGATACAACAGTTCTCCAAATTTGCATTTTTATCAAAAGGAACAAATGTCTTGAACATTTTGGTACAGATGGTATTTAACCATGTACATACTACTGTTAACATGTTCAAGGTAAACACTGAAGAGTCAATATCTGTACAAAAAATAATAATCACAGAAACTTAAAGTGATTCATCTGACACTGCTTATATTGCATAGTTAACAAAGTCCCTGTCTCTTATTGTGATGTCACACATGATTATTCGATCCACTCAGATAACTAAGCATTTTAGAGTGGGAATGCCTAACTTTATATTTAATATCTTACCTCTTGTTTCTTTTTCTTTTCTCTAAGGAATACTTTATATTTAATATTTTACTTGTTTCTAAATGTCATTTAGAATTTTAACGTTTACATGGCTAGCGTATTAGATAGCATTGTTTGATTTTTTATTTGGTGGGGGTAAAGCAAGACAATAAATTCCAACTTCAGATTAATTTGTTTCTTTAAAACAGTACCACAGGGACCTTTATCTATAGGACATCTTTATTCCTTAACCAAAATAGAAATGGAAATCCCTTTAATTTTGACCATGAGGCATGAAGCTTGCTTTAGGTTAGTGTTGAAGAGGTCATTTTATGTGATGATGATCCCAATTGTAACAACTCTGCCTGTTTTAAAAATAAATCCTGAGTCAGTGTTAATGGACTGCCCTATATTATGTGCCTAATTTCCCAATCACTGCGTTAAAAGCAAATGCTTTTGGTATCTTAACATTTTAATGAGTACAAACTAATTCAGAAAGACTTTAGATTTGTGTGCCATCAAGTCTAAATTGTACCTGAAACCACTTCCCTCCATGCAGACAAGTATTGTACTATAGATAATGCGACCGAATTCAGATTGTCTAAGTTAGAAAATCACACATTAGCTTTATGTTGTCTGTCTGTGTCATGATTGCCCTGACCATTTTTAAAGTACTTTAAATATTTATTGAAATAATATTTCAAGTGTTAATTACAGTGGTAATGAAAACAGCCAAATGCCACATATCAAGAATGAGTGTTTATCCGTATTGTTAATGTGATATGTTAGATTTCATTAAGCAGTAATGGGGTAGCAAATGAGTCACAAATTACAGTTGCATCTGTTACTAAACCACATTAGTGCCAAAATAACAGCAAATGCAGCCACAGGGTTATGTTCATTAGCCAACCACGTTTGTGGCCAATTCTTCCCTTTGTTACTAAGAACTCGGGTACTGCCAGGAGAAATTGACATCTTTAAGGGTGTTTGTAAGAATTTATATGTCAAAAAATGTAATACTTCATCCTAGCTTTTGAGTATTATCTTAGTGAAGTAGTTTATACTTATTGAATCTGCTAATAACCTATGGTGGTGAATTGTCCTGGTATAGATTCTCCTGCTTGTGATCTCTTTCTTTCTGGTAAGATACAAATAATATTTGACAGTTTCTGTGTGCAAGAACTGTTTTTGTTACTTCCTTTTGTCCACTGAGTTTGTTTCACTTTTCTCCCAAGTGGTTATGATGGTATGGTAATTGATAGTTTGAAGAATGATGATTTTTAGCTCTTAATTAGGTCTCTTTACTGATAATAACAGACTCCAATTATCTTATACCAGTTCATTCTTTCAAATACTATTAATAATAAATGAACTATCACAGTGACTCTTTGAGCTAGGAATAAAAAAAAAATTGAAGCCTCCCCCCCAACACTTCACATCACCAAAAATTTATATGTTGGATCTAGGTACCTCCTCTGCTTCTCTATAACCTGAGTTCTCTAAGAAAGATGGTTCGTGTGGTAGACCAAGGCTGCCCTGATTTACACTAAAGACCCTATTTAAAAATACAGCCTATAAGAATCTCTGGTAGTGTAGAAAAACAAAGCATTGAGATTTACATAGCTGTTGAGGTAGAATACGTCTAAAGCAAGTGAGCAAGATCAATGTAGTTAGTGTATCTCTATCAATAGAGCTCAATGCTCTCTAGGTAGTCTTTAAAAGCTGAAGACTAATAGAAAATAACTCAATAAATACATATGAAACTGTTCATATAAAAGAAAATAACCCTCCTACTTTAAATAAAAAGGACTGGTACCCTTTAATATGAGCTGCAGTAATCCTTCTACTATAAAACATTACCCCCCCCCACACACACACAGAGTAATGGTTTCCATAGATGCCGTCTATGGAGACTATACCAATAAGGAAATTTTTTTAACCCACAAATTTAATATTAGTTGTTTTATAAGTTGTGACAGAATGTAAACATGTGAAACGTGTAATGTTCATTTCCAGATTAATGTTGTATGTGTGTGTACATTCGCACCACAAAATTGTCAGCATTTTATGCAGCATGTGGATTGTGAGAGTGGTTTGAGCAGTTCTACGAACATATCAATAAAGTGGCAATTTGTTATATAGCCAAATCTAATGTCACTGATGCTCCAACTAACAACAAAGACAGATGTTGCTAATTAAGTACGCATTAAAAAACTGTTAATACTGATACTCCATTAAAACCATATGATAATGAGACTTAAATCTTTAATCAGAATGATCAGCAAAACTTTATATATGGAAATATGTGTTTAAGATGTTTTCATTTGAGGAATAAATATTTGGCTTAGATCTGTAGTGTTTTCATGCAAAAATCTTTCTTCCCTCCAAGGAGGAATAAAGAAAGGCTAGAGTTAGAATATGAGGCTATCTGTGCTTTGTTTTCTTTTAGCAGACATTCCATACACCAAGCCTTGGGGATGAAGAATTTGAAATCCCACCAATCACGCCTCCTCCAGAGTCAGATCCTGCCCTGGGCATGCCTGATGTACTGCTACCTTTCCAAGCCCTCAGTGATCCGTTGCCTTCCCAGGGAAGTGAATTCACACCCCAGTTTCCTCCTCAAAGCCTGGATCTTCCATCCATTACCATCTCTAGAAATCTTGTGGAACAAGATGGCGGGCTTCAGAACAGTGGATTGCATATGGTAGGCATCACATTTATTGCTTGAAACTGGTTTTTATCATTTGCTGTAATCATGGTGAAAATTTGAGAATGCATGTTCTGAAGTATGCTCCTGGCTTTATTGGTGGTTGAGTAGATTAAATATAGTTGTACTAGATCAATGCCTTGACAATTACACACACACACACACACACACACACACACACACACACACACACACACACACACACACACACAGATGGCTGACAAGATCTTTTTGCTATAAAAAAGTATGATTTCTTGGTTTAAAAGTAGCCAATCTCGTCTTTGGTGTAACACAGAGGTGTGCTTGAGTTGAAAGCTTATCCTCACATGAGTTTAGCATTGGAATCCATTCTGGGATGTCTAGATTTTTTGAACTTGGATTTTAATTAGAAGTTTATGATACATGATTTGGTTCATCCTCAAGTGAAATACCAAACTGTGATACAGAAAAAAGAAGAAAAGGTAATTGCTTATAATAAGCAGAGGGAGAGAGGGCAAATGAGTTGTGTGGAGGGGAAAAAAAATGTGTGTGTGTTATTTATTGTCATAAACATCAAATAAGGCACCCCAGAGAGCAAAGGTTTACTAATGCAATTATTTTGGATATACACAGACATAAATGTATGCATATGTTGGGGGTTCCTTTAGTGTGCAATTATAGTCAGCATTCGCCAGAGTAAATCTGCTTAAGTATTTTAAACTCTTCTGCTGGATTGTCTTTTTTTCCTGATGATAATATGTATATCTATCTAGGTGAGATACTAAGCAGACATTTTAAAGTGAGATTAATAGTTTATATGGCTTTTTTTAATAAACCCCGATAAAATGAAACAGATGTGTTGGTTTAACAAAAACAAATCCTATTGCTTGTTTACATAGTTCTCTGCACATGAGGACCATGGCAGTGATGTTTATTGGTTTCATTGTTAATTCCCCAGATAACTGTGTATGATTGCAAAATATGTAGTGGATTAGTGGTACAGAGATTCGGCATGCTCTATGAAATATAAGATTACTTTCCCAAATAGGATTGCTGCAACATAATTTTCTTTGCCTGTGATCTTTTGTGTTTGAGCTGAACATTAGGGTTTTTGTCTTTACTTTATTTTTCGTCAGAAAGGAATGCAAGGAACAGTAGGAAATGGTCATTAAGAATTCATAACCAACCCTCGACATCACAAATAATTGTGTCCTGTGGACTTTCCTACATGTTTGTCTCCTTGACACTTGAATAGTGGGTGCTATCCTATTTGTCTGCAGTCAGGCTTGTAATGTTGTGTCTGGAAAATAATAAAAATTAAAACAAGGATATTTAGTCACCAAGGGGAGTTTTCCAGGGTTTACCATTATTCATAGATGCTCAGCTGGGCTTATTCAAGTTGCAGAAATAGTTAAAAGACCATATAATGTATGCTAAAATGTGTACTTTATTATAAATTGGTAAATATTTATTAATAACATAAGCATGTGCCTTTAAATTAAACATCTGATGAATTACCTTGCCTTAAAGCTATAAAACTGTTATTGCTGCTATAAAAAAGTGTAAAGGAGGCATTTTGACTATGAAATTTCATTTCATGGTCAATTGAATTTACTATATTGGAAAGAACTAAAGATGGAATCATAAAATAATTATGATATTCACATACACTTAAAGAACAACGCTTTTACGAACTGGTGTTGAGGGAGAAGACTCATTTTTTTAATGCTGCTTTTGTAATGTATGGCTAATCACTAAAAGGGTTGAATTATTTCATTGATTTTAGAAGTATAGGCACTTTAGCTAAGTGCAGGCTGGTGTCATGGTATTTACGTGGAGCTCATTACATTTATGGTTGCCTTTTTTTGTTGTTGTTGAAGTTTTGATGAACCTGAATGCTATTTATTTGGGCTTGAAAACAAAACTAATCTCGTTGGAAATTCTAGTAGAATTTCACCTTGAAGAAATGTCATGGGATTTTAAATCACAAATGTTGGGGGTGTGGGGGGGGAAATGTACTGAGACAGAATTATGATGAATGCAATGTGTCGTTGGCTTTGTTCTATGGACTACCTGACATGTTCACCTATAAACTTGAATTCAGAATCGCCAGAGGCATGGTTAAAAATAGGTTATGTCAAGCTTCTTCTGTGTCTCCCTCTGGGTCCTGAGTTGGCTGGCTACATCATGATATTCCATAGACACTTCTTTTGGAGATTTCCCTCAGGAAGCTCAGCAGCAAAATAATAAATAATGCTTTATACATCATGTATTCAGCTTCCTGGTGCGCGTGGGATCTTTCATACTCTATGCAAGCACGAAGTTTTATTATCCAAATGAAGATGGCTGTCTTTAGGATTGCTATGGTGAATTAAGACTCTCATATAAGAAGAAAAGCCGGCTTGTTTATGTTGTATGGAACCTGCTTTTCTTCAGGGCTTCATTGGTTTTCCTTTAGAGTGAGTGACAGTTTGTCACATTACTGATTAGCTGCATTATTGTTGGCTACAAGAACAACATGTTTATCTTCCTTAAATTTATGCTATTATATTTAAAAACAGAAAACAAGAATAAAGAAGGAGGGAGGATTAAAAGACTCCCAATGATTAGCATTCACATCTCAAAATATGTAAATCATGCCCTAGTATTCAAAAGCGAGTTGCTGAAAAATTGAATGAGGATATATTGGAGGCTTCAAAGAACAACCTTGATTTGCTTGTCGTGGGTATGTGTGTTTTAAAACAGGATGCGGTTGGCAAGTCAAAGTCAACAGTAGACTTTGCTTAGAAATTTGGTACATCCAGGCATCATTGTCAGTTCACATGATCATTTGGAAATTATTTTAATCTACAAAAGATTGCAATTCTGAAAAATCTACAATATGTGCTCCGAAGGGTTTTTTTTTTTAACACTTCTCTATAATCTGCCCAGCCCGCTGAGTAGCACTGACATCAGTAGTCCATCAATTTCAGAAAGTGGATTATTTTTACTAGACAGCTATTGTGACATATTGGGTCAGTCATAAATGAAAGATATTCATGCAAGCATGCAATACTTGTAATGAAGTCTCACTCTGACCTTCTGTATGATTGATTCTGTAATTTAGTTTTCTCAGGCAGTGCCTGAAATGAAATGAAATCATGTTGAACAAGTTTTGAATACCCACAGTGCACCAGGAGAAGAAAAATCTGCAGCCCCAGAGGCTTGAGAGAGAGCAGATGAACGATTTATCTCTATGCTATTATAGCCTTTGCCAGCATTCAACATTTCTTTTTTTTTTTCTTATTTGGCTTAAGTACTTAATTCTGCAGGTAGCTGTAAATGGGAAAATAAAATGCTGTTCAGATTTAAAATGACAGGACAGGAGTATGTGCAAGGGACTGATAAAATATCTTGAATAGAACTGACCTTTCATGTAGCTGAAAGTTACTGGGGGATTCATGCTCATAATTACCATATAGATTATTTTTATTTCTTTCCTGCAATGAAACATTTCAGAGAGCAGTAGTGCTGATTGAATGAAAATTGAACTTGTTAACATTCTTTTCAGCTTAGCCTGTTGTACATAACAGAAGGTTAGCTTTGATGAATTTCAAAACTCTCTTTGATATCTAAGAAACAGACAGTAAAATAATTGTCTCTAGTCTGATAGCTTGTATACCCCCCCAAAAGAAAATTTCTAGAACACACTGATAATTCACACATGTTTTCCTCATGCTTTATATTTCATGTGTAGAGGACCAACAGTGCCTGTTTGATACTGCTTCGGATTTAATTGTGATGGCACGTATTTATAGAAAATACTATGTGGTTGCTGTGGTAATAGCAAATGGAGTATTAGAAAATTGAAAAGGGTGGAAGTAAAGGAGGTGTGTCTGAGTGGGAGTATCTGGACCTGTTAAAGGGAATAAGGGGGGAGAAAGAGAGAAGGAGGGAGGGAAAGGAGGGAGAGAGAGAGAGAATAGTTACACAGAAAAGACCATTATAAGCTCTTAAAATATAAGACTCTTAAATCATAAAACATACACGTTTGATCAGAAATACGGGAATTTATCAAAATAATGTATCTAAAATTATGACACTTATTTAACAAGTTTTCATCCCCCTCCCAAATTGACATGGCTCCTCATTTTGAAGTGAAATTATATATTTTTTGTCTTTACAAAGCGACTTCCTTGCCATCTTAGACTTAAAAAAAAAAGGAAAGAAACCTTACATAAAAGGAATAGCAGACTTTCAATTAATACATTGTTTTTAGCAATGTTGCTTAATGTGTTACAGATAAAACAGTTATTTCATGGACCATTAATGTGTTTAATGCGTGGAACGTTCTATTAAAACAAGCCTTCTTATTATTATGAACATGTTCATTGCCGTTGTCCGTGGAGGCTGTGTAGCTAAATTCCACAGGATGATTACCGTTTAGCCATTGTGGAGAGGCAGTGTGGGTTGAGGGTGGGAAGACCAACAGGAGAACTACCACAGATTGAATGATTACTTTAGTCATGTTTAGTTTGGGTCAAGTAATATTTTTTTATTCCAAGTTAACAGTACAGAGACACAACTTCAAAGAGCAAAATCCTCACTTTGAGTTGAAAAGGCCCTAACTATACCAGGTCTAAACAATGAAATTGTAACTACATTAACCTCTACTAAATATGCACTGAGTACCTACTAAGTGCTAGGTAGTATTATATATAATAGGAAGCTATTTATGAAATTGTTTTCTTGATCACTAATACCTCCTCCATGTAATAGGAAAACTCAAGAGTCTGAATACTGTTTCAAAGATACTTATCGAAAGGTAGCTTTAATTTAGCTGTTACTATTCCCTAGCAATTTTCTGCCCCAAATGCCAGTCCAAAGGTTACCTCTGCCTTCCTTTGTACAGCAATTGACCTTGATCATCCAGGGCTTTGAAATATGTGTTCTTTACTCTTGGCCTGCAAAACTACTGCCCTGGATCACATGAATGCTGTCTTCAAGGTCAATTTCGGGTCATCTATTAAAGTAGGAAC